AGTGGGAGATTGGACCGTGGGATGGACTGGTGGGCGTGGGGGGCAAGATCTTGAACATTTAACCAGGTGGGAACTTTCAAACCGGGAATCCCTCAGATTCGGGTTTTCCCAGATGTGCCAACATGGCTCTCTTAATAAATTGGAACTTTGAGCAATACTTTGCCTTGGACTCTGATTTAATTTTGGATGCAATTTGGAACCCTAATATCATACTCATAAAAGTAACTTACAAAATCATGTAAACATCATAGTCAATACAGATGATCTTGGACTTACACTTGTTTATAGTGACCATTTGAGGTTACAATGGCATTGAAAAAAGTGACTTATGATTGTTTTTCTGCTCTTATGGCCATTGCAACATCCTCATGGTCACTGATTAAAATTCAGATGCTTGGCAACTGGTTCATATTGGTGACCGATGCAATCTTCTGGAATCACGTGATCCCCTTATGCCCCCTTCTGATAAGCAAAGTCCATAGGGAAGCCAAATTCACCTAACAACCGTGTTACTAATTTAACAATTGTAACAATTGACAACAGCTGTGGCAAAAGTCATAAAATTGGGCAAAAGTCACTCAACTGTCTCGTTTAACAACAGAAATTTTGGGCTCAATTGTGGTCGTAAGTCGACCTGTACCACAGTCTTGAATTCTCTTCCAGCTCGTCAATATTGCCAGTGGAGGTAAGGATGGGAGTTGTAGTGCCACACTATGATTTAGGTAATTTGTGCTAATACACTTACCAATAAGTGTGCTTATTAGAACGAGCTTTATTCCAAAGCACTGGTTTGAGTTTTCATATGTTGAACTTAATCACGTTGCTTAAAAAAGAAGGCAGAAAAGCAGAAGGCTTTTCTACCAATGCCTTGAACGGTGCATGGTAGAATTGTTGCCTTGAGATTTTAAAAATAAACATAGCTAAACAAGGCTGGGAATGAGAACTCTTTGTTCAGAGTGGGAAGCTCTAGATCAGGGGTCAGCAGCCTGTATCTCTGGAACCGCATGTGGCTCTTTCATCCCTCTACTACGACTCCCTGTCACTGGTCGCTCCACAATTGATAGGGCTTTCGGTTAGGACAAGTAGAGGAAAAAGGACGCTGCATTAGGAGGAGGGTCTATAGTGGGGGAGCCAGACTTCCGGTTGGTGAAGGAAGAAGGATGCTACACTAGGAGGAGGCTCTATGGTGGGGGAACTGGACTTCTGGTTGGCTTCAGAACGTAAAAGGGGAGGGGCTTCCTATTAGACCTTTCTGGCACTTTGAGTTTTTAAGGTTGCCGACCCCTGATCTAGATTCTCAGAGGCAACTTGCAATACAGGCAGTCGTTTTTATTATCTTGTCCCCTGGCAATCTTCCCTGCCTGTAGACATAAAATGATCATATATCATAAAGTCTGGAATCAGATACAACCAGCCCTGGTATGTTTGCTTGAAAATAAGGTCCATTGTGTGCACTGGGGTGTACTTTTGAGAAGTATTTATAATCAAGGGATTCTACTGTTCAGAAAACCAACTCCTTTGTAGCTCAGAGGAATAGAGACTTTGCCAGGATGGGCCATCTGAAAGGTCTGTACCCAGTTTCCCTGAAAATAAGCCCAATTGCACTTTTGAGTGCATGTACTAAAATAAACCCTCCCTGAAAATATTGCAACACAGCAGCAGCCATGAGGTGACCACGCTCGCCACCTCAAAAATAATAAGACCCCGAAAATAAGGCCCAGCGCTTATTTCGGGGGTCAAAAGAAAATAAGACCCTGTCTTATTTTCAGGGAAACATGGTAGATCCAAGTACAGTACATCATGTTGTTTATGCACAATACTTTGCCCATTATGAATTGGCTAATTAATATCAAATAATGATACCAGAAAGATAAGGATACCTGCAGCATTGCCTAACATCATCATAATCTGTCAGGTCTATATCAAACACCAATTCCTTTTCCTGAGCTTGAAAAGCACCCATGTGGACGGTATTATGCTGGATAGGCTGCAAAGAAATGAACAAAACACAGCCCAGAATGGGCTCAAGTATTAGCATCATACTATGATTTATAATCTAAATTTCATTCCTTCATAATATTTCAGGCTTCTATGATTTTATTTTGGTAAAATCATGCTTGGCCACTGATATGCTGTCAGGTCATTTTCAGCCATTCAAACAGTAAGTACATGACAGAGGAATAAGAAGTCTGGATAGGAAGCATTTAGGAATGGCTGCAGAGGTTTTTCAGACTCATTCGCTATGATAGGAGGTTGGATAACAGTTGTTTGAAACTGTTCCAACTGACATGAGAATAAATAATAAAGAATGATAAATATTCCAAGATGATATATAATAGTTGCAAAGCCTTTTCTAAATTCATATTTAGATTATAAAAGCAGAATGAGAATACTACCAAATGTCTATTTTCTGTATGTACCCCAATATAGGTAACGTGTTTCCCCGAAAATAAGACAAGGTCTTATTTTCTTTTTACACACAAAATATGGCTTGGGCCTTATTATGAGGGGAGGGTTTATTGTTTTGGGGTTGCCGGGCGGCTGTTCTCTTGCGAGCAGACTCCCAAAGAGCTGGGTATAGCCTCATGGGCGAATTGCTGTGTTGCGCTGTCGCAGCAGCGCAACACAGCAGCCATGAAGCGACCACGCTCATGAGCAGCCATCTGACAACCCCCCCCTCTTCAGTCGTGCAGAGCGCCATTCACTGCCATCTTGAAGGTGCCAAGCCGCGGGAGCTGAGTGGTGGCGAACAGGCACTCATGCGGCTCGGCGATACCCCTAGGTCAGTGAATGGTGCTGTGCCTGGCTGGAAAGGGTTTTGTCGGGTGGCTGCTCATGAGCATGGTTGCTTCATGGCTGCTGCGTTGTGCTGCTGCGACAGCGCAACACAGCCATTTGCCCATGAGGCTGTGCCCAGCTTTTTGGGAGCCCGCCCGCAAGAGAGCAGCCACCCGGCACCCCCCCTCTTCAGCTGGGCACAGAGCTGCTCACCAACCTAGCGGTATCCCAAAGGCACTAAGCAACACAATCACCTTTGCTTCCCCCCCTGGTTCCTGCGGCTTGGCACTTTCGGGATACCACTAGGTTGGTGAGCGGTGCTCTGCCTGGCTGGAGGTGGGGGGTTGTCCAGGGGGCTTATTTGAGGGGCTGGGCTTATATTTTTGCCCACCAGAAAAATGTGGCATGGCCTTATTATCAGGACATGTTGTAATATCAGGGAAACACGGGAGACCTTGACTTAGGACCACAAATTCCAGCCAGTGATAAAAATGAATTAGCAGTTTGCCTCCAGAAGTTGTAGGTGCGCCCTTACTGGTTTTTAAGAAGAGACTGGGCAGCCATTTGTCTGGAATGGTATAGGATCCCCTGCTTAAGCAAGGGGTTGGACTAGAAGACCTTCAAGATCCCTTCCAATTCTGCATTAAATATTCTTTACAAACCATCAATAATCGTATTGCGCAATAACAGCCTTTCTTAAATGTTACCCTCCAGGTATGCTGAGATACTCTAGCCACTTTGAGGGGCTATAATTTGAATAGATTTTGTAGACACCTGACTGGGGAAGACTGCTT